CTCTGGGTGTGGATGGCTCAGGAGCCTGAAGTACCAGGAGGTGGAGAGCTGGGAATGTTAACTCTTGCACCAATCAAGCATCAGTGGACTCTGTCCCTTTAATGGAGCCACAGCCTCTCCCCTCCCCGACCAGTTCAAGCTCCTGCCCCTCTGAGCTTCCTCACAAAAATGAGGCCACCTCCAAGCCCCCAGAGCAGGCTGACCTCCCTTAGCCAGCTGGGCCAGGCAGCCTGCACCCAGAGCATTTTCAGGGCTGGTGGGGTGGGGCAGCCTGCAGACAGATGGCCTCTATTGATCTACAAGGTGGGTAGGGCATGGGAGCGTCCTTCCCCTCAGTGCTGCCTCCCACTCACCCAGATGGGCCTCTGCACTGAGAACGCCAGCCAGGGGCAGTTTGTGTGCCGTGCAGCACGTGGGTTGGAGCCCACCCCGGGGTCTGTGGGGGAGCTGGGAGCCCTGTGCAGCTATTCTGAGTCCCTCCAAACTCATCTCACATGAGTGAGCAGGCAGGGTGGCTAGGACCCACGTATGCCTCTGTACGGCCAGGCAGAGGGCTCGGGCTCCTCACCAGGCCTTGCGAGATGATCGTCTTCTCATCCAGTCTGAATGCAGTGCCAATCCGCCGCCGCACCGGGGGCACCTTGTCCCCCTGCCTCAGAGGGTACTCCTGTGGCAGCCTGCCCGTGAACTCCTGCAAGGCAGGAAGAGACGTCAGCCAGCCTGAAACCAGTAGGGAACCATCTCCACCAGGGATGGCTGCCTGACAACTCATTGTCAAACCAATCTGATAGCTTTCTTTGATAGGATAACAAGTCTTGGTGGATATGTTATACCTAGACTTTAGTAAGGCATTTGATACAGTTTCACATGACCTTCTTATCAATAAAGAAGGGAAATACAACCTAGATGGGGCTACGATAAGGTGGATGCATAACTAGCTGGATAACTGTTCTCAGAGAGTAGTTATTAATGGTTCACAGTCATGCTGGAAGGGCAGAACAAGTAGGTTCCACAGGGGTCTGTTTTGGGAGAGGGCGGATAAAGAAAAGTTATTTATTAGTTCCCATAATAGAAGAACTAGAGGACACCAATGAAGTTAATGGGTAGCAGGTTTAAAACTAATAAAAAGAAAGTTCTTCTTCACACAGCGCATAGTCAACCTGTGGAACTCCTTGCCAGAGGAGGCTATGAAGGCTAGGACTATAACAGAGTTTAAGGCCCCCAAGCAGCAGACACTCCAGCCATTATGCATGTGGCACTGGAAGCAGGCCCTGGAGCAATGGTCACTCCAATAAATGTGCATATGGCACTGGGGACAGGCCCCGAAGCAGCAGGCACTCCAGTAAATACGCACAGGGCACTGGGGGCAGTTGAGGCCCAGGATAGAAGTCGTGGCTTTGGGCCGGCTGGTTAGCCCCTAGGACGACGTGCAAGAATTCCAGAGTTCCAGGAAAACTGCCAGTTCTTCTCCGAATGAGAGGAGGCCGAACGATCTTCCTAAAGCCCCCCCACTGCCAGCCCAGCCCACAAGACAGGCCCGTGTCCCCAGACAAGTTCTGCCCCCTCACCGCTTCACGCAGGCAGAGGTTTCTCAGCTCCGCCAGACAGGCCTCCAGTTGTGCCTCCAGCTCTTGCTGCTGCTGGTATGCTGCCCGGCTCCGGTCCTTCAGTGGCGGCATGGGGCTGTCCGGGCCTGCAGGACACAAGACCAGGGGTGCCATTTCAAGCAGACAATGGGGAGATTCAGGGCTATACTTTTGCCCGAACGGGAGCAGCATAGTATTTCCGCAAGAAGCACTGATTTCTTACAGTAGGAAGTCAGTGCTTTTCTGGAAATTCAAGCGGCCAGTGTAGACAGCTGGCAAGTTTTTCCAGAAAAGCGGCTGATTTTCCGGAAAAACTGGCCAATCTAGACACAGCCTATGTGTGAAACTGATTGGTCCTTCCTAAGTGGAGCACTTTGCTTTTGTCCTTATTAAACTTCATCCTGTTGATTAAACTTCATCCTGTAGACAGGCCAAATTTCAGAAAAGCCTATTCCGAAGAACAATTGGAAAAAGGTACGCAAATTGCAAAGGGCAATTTGCGTCCCTTTCCCCCCAACAAAGCAGCAGTCTAGACATAGCCTCGTGAAACCACTGCTGCAGCAGACAGTGATGGGGCTGAGCCGGCTCCTCGGGGCTGCTTGCAAATGGAATGCTCCTCTTCCTGAGAGGCAGCACAGACTGACAGCTCCCCTTTGCACCAGGCTACACTTTTCAGCCCAGAACGTCCTATGGCTCAGCACCCTGCCTGGGGCGGGACTTCGTGGCGAGCTCAGCACATCAGAACCAACAGCCTCCTGCCTGCTGCAGACTTTCCTGAGCTGCCTGGGGTTCGGAAGCTTCTTCTGACATATCTGGCACCAGTCCCTGACAGAACTAAGGTCCTGGACCAGGGCCTGATCCTGAAGCCTTCAGGGCTCACATCCCAACACCAGACGGATGCAGAGGGAGGGCACACAGTCCAGTAGCTGCACTTCCCCTGGCATTCACCCACCTGATTGCATCATGATCCCACTGTCTCTGTGGCTGGCATCCTCTTTGCTCTCCATGGGTGGCGGCAGCCCAGGGAACAGGGACAGGGAGGGGTTCCTGGGAATGTGAGTTCTTGTGTGGGAACTGGTTAAACAAAAGACAAAAACTCAAAAGTGCTTCGCACGTGGTTGTGTAAGATCATCACAAAGACACACACATGCAGAGATGTGTTGCTCAGGGACATGCCATAGAACAGACTTGTCAGCCCAGTAACCAGAAGCAGTCAGTACAATCCATCTTGGGGAGAAGGGCTCAGACCCAAGGCTCCTGACCCCCTCCTGCAGCCCAGCAACCCAAGATTAACCCATCGACTTAGCACATCTGGTTCAAATCCTCCAGCCATCGCAGCCTGCCCTTTGCTCTCCTTCCCAGGCAAAAGGTGTCAGCTGGCTGACCCCTTTTGGGCTAAGGTTACGAAAGCCTCAGCCACTGGTGCTGAGACCTTTGTAATCTGAGCCTAGAGGAGAGTGCAGCCAGCTGACACCTTTTGCCCGGGAAGGGGAGCAAAGGGTAGGCTGGGATGGCTGGAGGATTTGAACCAGATGTGCTAGGCTGGTGGATTAATCTTGGGTGGCTAGAGTGCAGGAGGGGGTCAGGCGCCTTGGGTCTGAGCCCCTCTCCCCAAGGTGGATTATATTGACTGCTTCTGGTTACTGGGCTGTTCTGCACTGTCTCTCTATCAACCAGGGGTGAAAGTAGCTCACATTTCTTACAGGTACTGTCATACAATACAATACCTGTAAGAAATTTAAAGATAGGGTGGGATGGCTCAGGACAGGGGCAGATGGGGGGGGGGGGCATAGCAGGAGTCAGGGCAGGAGCTTGAGGGTGAGGAGGAGCTCAGGGTAGGAGGCTCAGGGGGTGAAGAGGGGGTGTAGGAATCAAGGTTGGGGTATGAGGAGGAGTTCGGGGCAGGGGATGGGGAGGTGGGGATGCAGGAGTCAGGGTTGGGGGCCAATGCAAAGCTGATGAGGTGGCCCACCTTTTGTTCTCTTTCCCAAGGAAAAGGTGTCATCTGGCCACACCCCATCCTGGGCTCAGGTTATGAAGGCTCTGACCCCAGGGCGGCTCCTTAGCCCCTTGTCCTCTCTGGGGATTTTGCACTCGCTCACACACCCACTTCCTGCAGATGGCACCTAAAGATCCAGACCAGCAGAGTGTCCTCCCCACCCCAGAAAGAATCCCAAGTGCTGCTACAGGCTGGGGACCGAATGGCTAAGCAGCAGTTCTGCAGAAAAGGACCTGGGGGTTACAGTGGATGAGAAGCTGGATATGAGTCAACAGTGTGCCCTTGTAGCCAAGAAGGCTAATGGCATATTAGGGTGCATTAAGAGGAGCATTGCCAGCAGATCCAGAGAAGTGATTATTCCCCTCCCACCACACGGACACAGTGAGGCCATCGCACAGACACACCCACAGAGTGAGGCCGTCGCACAGACACAGTGAGGCCGTCGCAGGGACACACCCACAGAGTGAGGACCACCCACTTCTAAAAGCCTTGCAGGAGGGATAACTGGACCTAGGGATGAACTGATTCCGGGGGACAAATAATGAAAAACACGGTCGGGGGTGCAGGTCAAAGGTTCAAAACGAGGGAGCCGGATGGGGACACCGCACAGAGAACCCCGGACAGCACCCACTGCCCCCCGAAGCTGTCCGGGGAGCCAGTGGACGTCACCCAGAGGAACTCTGCCTGGATACGTGACACTAGGGAGGAACGGAAATAGGTCCCACCGTTGCAGAGCATCCCCTCGTCCAGCATCCTCCTCCTGGTGTCGTATATAGCGGCTTTGCAGGGTTGGCCGCTCACTGAGCCGGAGGAGGAAGAACCCCGCCCCTGATCCTGGGTGGGCTGAGACGGCGCCTGCCCCTTTAAGTCCACAGAGGCCTGGGGGAGGGGCGGGAAGTATAAAAGCTGAGCCCAGATGCTCAGTAAGGGGCCAGCTGTTGGAAGGAGCAGATGTCTACCTGGAGGAGCTGGCCGAGGCAGATGATTGGCCCGGGTGCCTAGACCTTGAGGAGGAGACTCTTTTCTCCCTACGCCTAAACTTGGACTAGACCGACCCTGGGAGCTGCCTGGGAGCCAGGTACAGACTGAGGGGGAGTCCGGAAGAGGCCCAGGGGGAGCGGAGGATGGTCAGGGGGACCTGATCACCCTGTAAGGTGTGTCAGTGTGTTTCGGAGCCGATTACCTGCTGACCCCCGTGGACGCCTAGGCTGCCACTGCTAGGGCCCTGGGCCGGGACATGGTGGAGTAGGGAGGGCCCGTGTCCCCCGCCACCTCCATATTGAGTGGCAGTCTCCCCCTGCCCACCTGTGCTGTGAAAACTGTTTGTTTGCTGATCCCGCCCTGAACCACAGCCAATGCCACTGTTTGACTTTGAGACTGTTGGTTTTCTGGCCGCTGGGCTAGGACGTACAGGCCCGAGCACAGGGCCGGGCTCAGGACTGAGTGAGAACCCTTCAACCGCCGTGCCCACCCACGGAGTGAGGCCGCCGCGCAGGCATGCTGGAGCAGTCGTTACCTTCACCTGTCTCAGGTGCCCTGCAAGGAGAGACCAGCTTTGTCCCAAGGCAAAACTCAGGCTCAGCTCTTTGAAGCTCCTGGCTCATTAGACTGCTGGCTGCCTAGGGGGCTATGGCCAGCGCTCCCCAATGCTGCCCCAGTGTCTGGGGGCCCCGGGACTGGGAGCTGCTCAGACACTGGAGCCCCCCCCCAGGACTGGCAGAGCCGGGCGTCCAGTCACACAGAACAATTCCCTACATGAGCCAGGGTGCCAGTTATCTGTCTGCTCCCTGCTGCTGTTCTGCTGGGGGTAGCCCCTTCCGGGACTTGTACCTGGCTCTCCACCCCCGTCCGCTGAGTCAGTCTGTTACACAAGAACCTGATCGTCACCCAGACAGAGCTCCTGTCTGGAGCTTATCCTGGAACTGGCAGCTCCCCTGGGCGTGGGGGAGGGGGAGCAGATCCCGCCCCCCCCCCCTCCCGTATCTATATCACTGTGGGTGCCTGGGGCACACTCAGCCTGCACTGGGGTGACTAACGCAAGCTGGCAAAGCGTCAGTTTTACAGCCATCTCATTACACCCAGCTCCCTTTGTGTGGCGGGCGCTCAAGTGCTGCCGCTCTGTGTGGCCCCGGGCCAGCCTCCTGCTGCGGTAGCCCTCCGTAAGGGCTCCCCCCCAGCCGATCCCAGTGGGGCAACGGCTAGGGAGTCTGCCAGTGGAGCGCTGTCTACAATCACAGCCCCCCCCACCCCCGTTTCAGATAGTGTTGGGATCTCAGCCACTGAGTTTCACTCCCAATTCTGGGGGCAGAAGCCACGCGCTGTCTGTCTCCCTTCAAGTGGAAACCACAAGCCACCAAACGCGCTGGCTCAGCTCGCACCTGCAGACCTGTCCGGATCGATTCACTCTGCTCTCATGAATGGAGCCTGGGCAGCTTGCACTCGAGTCTGTTTCTCAAGGGAAGTTACAAACAGGGTGTGACGTAGTGGGGGTACCTGGCTGGTTTCTATGCTGCTGGCTCTGGGGTGGCCCCACTGGCTGCCGTGGGTACCAGGACCCAGCCAAACAGGATGAGTCACTATGCAAACCAGTGGCCAGACACCCCCCATGGGGAGGAACAAAGGAAGGTGGAATGCGGCCCTGGCTGGGGGGCAGGGCTGGAAGTTAGTGAGTTGGTTGCTGGCTGTCTGGGAGCATGGAGGAGAGCCTAGGGGAAGGGTCTGGAGTTTAGGGGCCCATCCTCCCCCATCTCAAGGGGGCCTGAGGCATCCTAGCCCAGTTCCTGTGACCAGACTACATCTGTGCTGCGCTGTGCTGGAGGAGCGATAAACCACCCTCAATTCCACTGGCTGGTGCAGTCTGTTTGTGCCATTTCGGGGTGCAGGAGACGGGGGACCCCAACGCGCCGTCACAGTTACAAACAGGGCCAGGCCACAACTTGTGTGGTTTGACAACCACCTTCCTCCCGGCCTTGACAAGGCTTTGTCTCTGGCTGCCCAGGCTGCGGGGGCCTGGTGGGCTGGCGACATTGACACAGACTGCCTTTGTGCGGTGTGTGTACACTGCCCAGTGTGGGGCTGAGCCAGGCCTGGGGCGCTGCTGCATCACCACAGCACACATCCCTGTTAGCTTTGGGCTGCCCGGCCTGCCCCATGCAAAGCAGACTTCAAGCTGACACAAATGGTGCATTCCCAGGACCCCAGCCAGGAAGGTCATCTTCTGCTAAGGTACATGTCCGGATGGAGCTGGGGGTGAAGGATGTTTCACTAGGAGGGTGGGGAAGCACTGGGATGGGTTCCCTAGGGAAGTAGTGGAGTCTCCGTCCCTAGAGGCTCAACAGTACCCACAGGTAGCAGGCAACTAGGGAGGCTGCTGCAGCCCCTGGCATCAATTCTCCAGAGTCACCTGTCAGAAGAGCTGTGTCCTGGGGGCGCACAGCTGGGAAATCCTGGCCCTTGTACCTGTCCCCAGGTGCCCTGCAACTTGGTGGAAGCAAAATGCTGGCTCTGGGTTGCAGGGTCCCTGCAGATCTGCTCTAGTGCCCTGCTGCGGGCCACCCTGCCGAAGCAGAGCTAGTGCCGAGCATGGAATGCTCCTGAGCAGTAGCTGAGGTACGTCTACACTGCAGCGAACACCCACGTCCCAGCTCTGCTGACATGGGCTCCCAAGGGTCGGGCTGGAGACCAAGTTCTGGGACCCCAGGAAGGGGGAGGGTCTCTGAGCCTGAACATATGTGGCAGATCTACAACCACACAACTGGAGCCTCATGGCCCCATGACAGTGTAAACATGTTTTGCTCCAGTCCCTGCCCATCTGTCCTGTCTCTAGTGCCCTGCTTCATTTCCCTTTGCTGATCAGCCTAATCTACATGGCTCCATAGACAGAGCCATGTAGTTTAGAGACACCCCAAGAGCTGTTCCCTCTAGCTGGCATGGGACTTCCCTCAGGCCAAGAATGCAGCAACCCTGGTTCCCATCCAGACAGGCCACTGCTGGCACATGGGAGGGTAAGGGCACCTAAGCAAACATCCCAAAGGAAGCGAAACAAAGCGAAAGACTAGCCAGGAGGCAAAGAGCAAGGCAGTGATTGGGGCACTCATGCAGGGAAGGGAAGTCGTGGCAGACATGAAGAAAGGAAGAACTTGCCCCCTAAGAAAAACAGCAAAGCCACAGCATTCTCTGGTTTTGCTTGAATGCACGCCAGGGCTGAGCACAGCCACAGGTGGGGTTGTCAGATGGTCTCCCAAAAAAATACCGGACATGCGGTTTTTTTAGGTCGAGCAAAAAAAAAAAGGGAACGTGGGTTAATAAGCCCCCGTTCCCCATTCTGGGGTGCCCAGAGCGGCGATCGCAACCCCGCCTCCCAGCTGGGATTCCCAGGCTGGGAGACAGGGTCGTCATTGGCACTGGGAGCCTATGACTGGCACGGTAGGTAGCATACGGGTGAAGTATATGTGAATTAGGCTTTATTAGTGCATATAGTCGATCTTTTAGTAATTCTTTTGCATTGCTTTGTGCTGTATTAATTGCTTTAGAATGTATAGAATTTAAGGTTTAAATTGTTTAAGTTCTACAAGCCTTAAGAACAATGACTATACAACTGTAACTGCTTAAAGCTTGCAATAAATAAGAAAGTAGTTAAGTAGCCCTGGCATGTCCTGGTTTCCCTTGGATCTAAAACAAATCAAACCACGACACCGTTATTCCGGAAAAACTCTGCAGTGTAAACATACCCATAGTCATCTCTTTTCCAAGGTGAAAAGTCAGTCTCTTTAATCTCTCCTCATATGGCAACTAGTCCACCCCCAACCAGTTTGTTGTCCATCTCTGTACCTTTTCCAATTCTAATACATGTTTTCATAGTCATAGATGATTAGGGTTGTAAGAGACTCCTGCTTACAGCTGGACCAACCCCAACTAAATCAACCCAGCCAGGACTTTGTGGAGACTGTCTTTAAAAACATCTAAGAATGGAGATTCCAGTGCTTCACCACCCTCCCAGTGAAACAGTTTTTCCTAATATCCAACTGAGGCCTCTCCCCACTGCAACTTGAGACCATTGCTCCTTGTTCTGCCATCTGTCACCACCGAGAACAACCTCTCTCCATCCTCTCTGGAACCTCCCTTCAGGTGGCTGAAAGCTGCTATCAAATCCCCCCTCACTCTGCTCTTCTGCAGAGGGAACAAGCCCAAATTGCTCAGCATCTCGTCATAAGTCATGTGCTCCAGACCTCTAATAATTTTTGTTGCCCTCCACTGGACTCTTTCCAATGCGCCCACATCCTTTCTGTAATGGGAGCCCCAAAACTGGATGCAGTTCTCCAGATATAGCCTCACCAGTGCAGAATAGAGGGGAATGATCACATCCCTAAATTTACAGGTCAGACCATCGAAGGTACCGAGGTACAGAATACCAAGGTACGACAGGTGGTTGAGGCTCATTGCTGTCTCCCAGATAGAGAACATTGAAAATACAAGTGCACGGCCCATATTCCTAACTTTAGATACGAAAATCATACAAGTATCATACTGAGTCAGCAGAGCATAAGCTTTCATTTGACACCACACAGCACAGAATTTGGGGGCAAACACACACCAATGTGTGCAACAGTGGTCTGCCTGCTCACACTAAAATCCAACAACATACTGTAAATCTCAGCATCTACACACTTACAAGATGTGGGTTCTGCAGTATAAGGCTTAAATAAGCTGTATTCTGCAGAGCCTGCAAAAGAAAAGCATCCATGGCCAATCTAGACGCGCTTTTCTGCAAAAAAGCCCCGATCGCCATTTTTGCAATCGGGGCTTTTTTGCGGAAAACAAATCTGAGCTGTCTACACTTTTGCCCGAACGGGAGCAGCATAGTATTTCCACAAGAACGCTGATTTCTTACATGAGATCGTCAGTGCTTTTGCGGAAATTCAAGCGGCCAGTGTAGACAGCTGGCAAGTTTTTCCAGAAAAGCAGCTGATTTTCCGGAAAACCTGGCCAGTCTAGACACAGCCTGTTAGTCTTTAAGGTGCTGCAAAACTATTAATTGTTTTTAAACTTTTTCCAGTTACAGATTAACTTGGCTACCTCCCTGAAGCTAGTGCTCTGTCTCAGCAGATCTCAAAGCGCTTTACAAAGCAGGTCAGGGTCATCAACCCTCTTGTACGATGTGGAAACTGAGGCACCGAGTAATGAGGACTTGCCTGGGTATCACAGCAGGCCTCTGGAGCCAGGGAAAGAAGACAGATCTCCTGAGCCTCTGTGTAGTGCTCTAGCCTCTAGGCCACATGGCCAGTGAGATATCTCTGGAGCTTCCCACATCGCAGCAGGAGCAGCTCCATTAGGTTTTGGCACTGGGGCATATAGCAGGCCAGTTCTGCTTACACTTGTAGTCTCTGAACCTCTCCTGGGCCCTGGAATTTCCCTGTTGATAGCACAGGTCTCCTGGCACTGCCTCACTGGGGCGTGGAGTGAGAATCTTCCAGCCG